AAACAAATATATAGATTCCCAGAAAGGTCAAGTGATTTGTCTAAAGTTTTAGGGCAAACAGATGGTAAGGCTGGAACAGAAATCCAGCCAAGAACCTTAACCTCTAAGATCTAGTTGTCACTCAAGATTCTCTGCCAGGAGCCACAATCACTAGTAAAAGTAAGATAAAAGGGACCTGAACATAGGAAAAACGCCGGCTGGGAGCAAGGCCCCAGTAAAATGCGGCCATGACGGAGGCAAAGCCCCATGAATCCTGTTGATGGACCTTCCCTAACTTTGAAGGATTGCATGCATAGGCTTGAGAATATTCCCTCTTTAATTGAGATAATAGATGTGCAAATGGATGATGGCATTTGACAGCAAAAATTATACATAGGCATAATGGAGGTGAGATTGAAGCAAAAAAGGTGCCCCTTAGAATATGCAAGGATTTGGAATTAGTGGTAAATCTATGTATAGAAATGTAAAAAGGGCTCAACAGCAAAAAATTTCCCCCCTGAAGGGACAAGGGAATGCAAATTTTGCAACCTTTAGCTAAAAAGGAAAAACAAGTACTTCCTCATATCCTTTATAAGTAACAACATTGACAGTTGTGATTGATGAGGAAGTGAGAAACTGAGACAGAGTATCTCCAAAAACAGGTGTTTTCAGGAAAAACAAGTCACAGACATGCCTTTTGATTTAAGAAATATTATAGTTTAATTAGAAAGAGGGTTAAAATTAAAGTAAAGATTAGAATTAAATAATAACAACTATAATTAAAAAGATAAATGTTCAGTTAAATATAAGTAATAGAAGGAATAGGAAATAATTAAGTTTTAAGGTAAACTTAAAATTTTACATACTTAATGTAGGTTTAAAATTAAATACATTTAGGATTAAAAGTAAGATTAATTTCATATATAAGTGTAGATTTAGACATGTTTTGTTTAGAAATATAAAATGTAAAATAGGTGATAAGAAAATAGCAAGTAATATAGATAAGGGAATTAGAATTAAGAAAGTTAAATTTTTTAAAAAATAGAGTATTAAGAATTTGTGGTGGGTAAGATAAGAGTGGTTATATAAAAGAAAAAACAAGTCAATATATTGCTGCTAAAAATATATACAAGGGTAGAATTAAGAAAATAGATTAGTAAGAGAAAAGAAATAGAATAGCGAAGGGAAGAGATTCAGTTGACCTAGAGGTCACAGGATGTGGCTGATAAATTCTTGGCAGCTGGTATTTTGTTACATCACTGGTAGCAGGAAGGAACAAAATGAAACTTGTAAAGGTCAACTTCCCCATAAACAAAAGAAAAAACATGATGTAAACATTTAATGTGTAACATTTTGTGGGTGAGGGGGGTCAGTAAAAAACTATGTAAGCTTGTAATAATTGAATAAAAATTGGCAGAGTCTTGAGCTCTCCCCAGGAAGAGGATTCCTGTCATGTTCGTCTTTTCTTTTTCACTGCTTCCCCATTCCTCGTCTCAAGCCCTGACTCTCTCCTAGAGCTGGACTCCAGCAATTCTCCCAACTTACGCACCCAACCACACCTCCCAATAACCAAGATAAACTCTCCCCTCCAACCTGTAAATATCTTAGCCTTTAATCCCCAGCAGCTCCTCTTATAAGATACAACTTTTTTTTAAATGGGCTATATTTCTAATATGTTATTGATTCCCTTTTCAAGAAATAAATTTTCACTTGGTAGAGCATAAGTTTATTTTTTTCAAAAGATATACTCACAAAGATGTATTTTGCTTATAATCAGATTCCAAGCTTTAGAGTTGTTGTTTTTTTGTTCTTAATGTAGCAATTACAATATCATTAGAAAAGTTCTTCAAATTTAACTTGAGGATATAGTTGATTTAAAAAGCGACATTCTCAGAAGTCTCTATAGGGAGCTTTTTCTCCTTTTTAGAGAAAAATAAGAAATGGCTAAGATATTTTTTAAAATCTGTCAAATATATTATTAATATTCTTCATTCACTAATCAGTTTGAGACTTGATAAAGATATTGAGGCAAATCTGGCCATATCATAACATGGCTTGAAAAGAAGACAAATTGAAAAATGAAATGAGTTTCTTGAATCCCTTATCCCTGATCACACTTCCTTGCTCTGTGACTTGGCCACCATCTTGGAGTGGTGGGCAGAGTGTAATGGTTCAAGTGCATGGACCTCAAAGTCAATGGTCTCTGCTCCAAACTTGGTTTGATGAGATTCTAGGTCTTACACGTAAGCAAGTTACCTCTCCCTCCTCTCTATATCTTAGATAATATGAGCATCTGCCCTGCAAGTTTTTGTTGAAAGGATTAAATAAGTCAATTTGTGTAATATTCTCAGAACAGTTCCTGGCACAGTGTAAGTGGTAGATAACTGTCAGTTACAATTCAAATAGAACAAAAAGAAGAGAAGGAAGCTGAAAAGGAGAGAAAGTGAGTGGAAGAGCTGGACTATAGGTGTTGGCACACATAGAGGGCAATTTGGGGAGAGGGTGTCCTCCGAGGAGATGAGATGCAGGAAACAAAAAGCACACAGGAACTGCCAGACCTGGTTCTCTCCCTAGCCAAATGCACCTCTCTCCCTCTGCACCTGCTACCAGAACCAATATCAGTGTGTTCTGAAATCAACTACTTGATTTGTATCATATTTAACAATCATCTTCTTCCAAAGAGGAAAAAATGCACAGCTATTCTTTAGGGGGATGGAAATTAGCATATACCCACCCATTGGCTAAGTGGCCTCATAGGTAAAGATTGTTGTAAATTATTTGGAATGACTTCAGGCCATTGTATTTTTCTAAGTATTTAATAACATGGATGGAATGATTACTATTAATATTAATCACAATTAAGTTGAACTACAGCCCACAGAAAGATACCTATGGGGCTTTCCTTTCTGTGTATGAATCAGCCTCGGGCAACGACTTAGTCACTGATGATTTGGTCTGTGCAAAAGTAAATAATGGAAAAGCAGACAATTTGCCGTCCTTCATCAAGATCTGGGGGAAGATTAAACTATAAACAACCACAATTAGAGAGAAGCCAGATGCTTAAGGAGGCTGACAGGATAAATAATTCTCTGATAAATAACTCTCTACAAAACTCTTTCAAAGGCAAAGCCTTAAGAAAAGAAGAAGGCAGTCCTGCTTTCAATTAGACAATTTTTAATCAGTTAATGAAACATCAGAATCAGAACAGCATATCCCTCATAATATGTTCTTTCTTCCTCCTTAAGCATTTCCCATCTTGCAGTTCATTCCGTAAGCACTGGAGTCCATTCTGTGTACCGCACCTGATACTATACTAGGTATTTAGGTTGGAAATTTAGGAGATAAATGTAGTCTATGAAGAGGAAACATGCCCTCAGTCCCTGGTTGCTCCTGGCTAAAGAGTTTTTTTTCTAGAAGTCCTTGCTGAAGGGCCAGGCTCCAGGAAGTCAGAAATCACCTGCTGACAATTCCACTGCAGCTGCTGGGATTCAGCTGGCTTGATTTGACTCGTTACTTTTCATGCAAAAATTGTTTTGTCCTGCTCACCCAGCTGGAAGAGTTGCTTCAAAGTATGACAATTTTCTCCAAAAAATAATAGCTCTATACCGAGAAACAAATGACAAAAGAGAATATTTTTTATAACTTCAAAATGCTTACATTCATGGGAGAGAAGGATACAGGATGTTTTATATGTGCTCATTCTTGGATTGCTTTTATTTAATTCAGTAAAAATTGACTCACATTTCTTTATGGTAATCTGGAACAAATATTTATCTAACTTATGCTGAGCAGCATACATTTGTTTTAATGTTGATAAAAACAATATTTGCATGGTAAATATTTACTTTGTACTAAGTGTCATCATTTTGCATTTGATGTCTACTGTTCTTACCGTATGCAGAATTATGAAGGAGATAATGAAATTCTTAGGTATCTTTCTTTCTCTCATTACCAATAACTCCACACATCCTTTTTCTTAATGCCTTTGTCATCCAGCATTAATTATCACAAATTACTAACTCTATGCCTGAGGCTGATAATATTTATTACGATATCTTCCTCCCTTGTCCTGACTTAGTCCTATCTCCTCCTTTCAAAATGTACCTGTTCTATGCCTCAAGATCTTATAGCCCTCCCATTTATTGATCCAATTTAATCAATTCATTGATCAAAGGCTGTGCTCATATGAAATCCAATAGAAGAAACATCAGTATTTAAAGGTTCTCAATGTCTTTTTTTTTAGATGGAGTATCACTCTGTCACATAGGCTGGAGTGCAGTGGTACACTTACAGCTACCGCAGCCTCAACTTGCTGGGCTCAGGCGATCCTTCCACCTCAGCCTTTCAAGTAGATGGAACTACACGCGTGTGCTACCATTTCCAGCTAATTTTTTGATTTATTGTAGAGATGGCATCTCATCAAGTTGCCCAGGCTGGTTTCAAACCCCTGAGATCAGGTAATCCTCTTGCCTCGGCCTCCCAAAGTGCTGGGATTACAAGCTTAAACCACCACACCCAGCGGTTCTCAATGTCTTTTAGGAATAATAAGTGTTATGGCTGGGCTTGGTGACTCACTCTGTAATCCCAGCACTTTGGGAGGCCGAGGTGAGTGGATTGCCTGAGCCTGTGGGTTCGAGACCCAGCTGGGCAACTTGGCAAGCCCTCATCTCTACAATAAATCAAAAATGCCAAGCGTGGTAGCATGCATCTATAGTTCCAGCTTCTCGGAAGGCTGAGGCGGAAGGATCGCTGGAGACCAGTGAGTCAAGGCTGTGGTGGCCATGAGCGGCCACTGCACTCCAGTTTGGGCGACAGAGTGAGACTCCAACTCAAAAAAAAAAAGAAGAAGAAGAAGTGTTTCTTTCAGACAGTATTAATGGGTTCCTAGGGCAAGGATTTCTGTTATTGGATCTTCCTGGATACTCCCTGCAATGAATTCATGACTATGTACAGGTGTGATTTACATTTGTTTTACTTGGTCTGCAATTTTTCACTATTAAGTTAGGCAAACAAAATCTTACCTCAGCAGCAACATCTCCAGTGTTTCCTCGGTGAGGAATTTCATATGCCTCCATTTGTTGCTTTGTGAGTCGCACTAACTTTTCAGCTAGTTCCCTCCAGCCTTTTCCAAGCTTGACAGCTGAAGTCAGAATAGCAGCCTCTTGGATGAGATGTGCTACTAACCCTTGGCAGTCCATCTTCAGCAGAGCCTGCAGCAACAATCACACATCATAAGCAGCAGATAATGTTAGGCTTTTTTCTTTAAATTAGGTTTTTCATTATATATCCTAAAAACAGAGGTGCTTTCATCACTACACATATTATTGAATTTTCTAAAACTCAAACGATGAGTTCACTTTTAAGCAAATGCAACAAGCAAACCATGGTGGACATAACTAAATCAGAATTAGGGGAGATTCAAGTCAAACTCAGTGACTAGGACCTTAAGTATACATTTATTTAAGATGTATCTTAATATCTTTATTTGTCAAAGGAGGAAGTTGAACTACACACTTTCAAAGATACTCTGGGGTTCCAGCAGTGTATAATTTATCACTCCAGGGTTGACTATTTATTCACAAAAAATAGTGCTTTGTTTTACCAGAGAATTGGCTACAGAATTCTCTAAACAATGAACAAACTGATGATGGTAAATATTCTATTTTTCACCAAAATGTGATTTAGAACTTGCCAGGATCATGCCTATTGCATAAAAAATAAGACACTCCTTCAACTTTAAACAAAGCAATTGATATTTATAAATCTAAAATAATACCCCTTATCACCAATATAATTGTGTTAAATATAAACCACAAGTTGTTAAAGATAAAACACTTAGTCTTCTACAGTGCAAAATGGAAAGCCACCAAACTCTTTCTTTCTTCCTTTATTAGACATCTGAGCTTTGCCACTCATCTTGCATGTTTCAAACAAGTCAACAAGTTTCTGTTTTGCCTTGCTATTTAAAAATTTGTAATAACTTATTTATTAAAAATTAGTATTATTTTATTTTTTTATTTATTAAAATTTATAATTTTAAAAAATAAAGTTAATTTAAAATTTTAAAATATGGCATTATCTCTATCTATATTTCATCTCTGTCCAAATAAGCAAAAAGCATAGCCCCCACCCTTGTCTGCGAGGGTGGGGGCTATGCTAAGACCCCTAGTGGATGCCTGAAACCATATATAGTACTGAGCCTCATGTCCACTATTTCTTTTCCCTTACCTAAATACCTATGATAAAGTTTAATGCATAAACAAGGCACAGTAAGAGATTAACAACAACAGAAAAACAGAACAATCACAATAGACAGTAATAAAAATTATGTGGATGTTGTCTGTTTTTCTCTTTCTCAAAATATCTTATTGTACTGTACTCACCTATTTGCCAACAATAGTTGACAGAGGGTAACTGAAACCATAAGTGAAACCACAGATAAGCGGCCTACTGTAAACATGTTTGGTAGACCCTCATTATTTAATGGCACATATAAGATCTATATGCCAATATTAAGCAAGTAAAAATGAATGACCAAGGAAGACAGCTATTAAAGTCCATAGGGTGCTCGTTCTCATGGACATGTACAGTTAGAAGGACTACCCATGGTTTTTGTACATAGACTATACTGCAACATAGGTTTACACTGAGGAGTGAGGGCCCCAGTGAGAAGCAATACTGAGCCAACAGGCTCCTGTAGGTGCTTTTGGTAAACTGTGGAGTGTGTTTACCACTTAATATTCCAATTTCTTATTTTAGGGAAAAGATAGCTGCCCTTGGAGTCCTAAAACTGAATTTAAAATCCAGCTCCACAAAGAATAGGACATTTGAAGCATCACACAATATCTCTATTTAATAATTTTTTAAATGACTAGGGTGGTAATTCCACCTGGTCTAATCCCTTATCAGTATGAAAATTGAAACAGATGCTGAAGTGCTTGAGAGAGTGTCAGGTGTCAAGTATATAAAGACAGTCAGTCTCAGTGTCTAGAGATGACTAAAGGATTAAGACATTACAATCCCTTTCAGCTTTATCAGCTCTCTTCCTGCCATTCCAAATTAATATACAATCCAAGAAAAAATTGTACACTTACTATGCAAAGAAAGTTTTAAAAGAAAACTCTATACCGTTCACTCTATCGCATTCCAGTCAGATAGCCAGAAGCTTCTTCATACAGAAATCCTGAAGGCTCCTCTGAGACACAGTACACACCATGGGGCTCCTTTGGGGGCTCCCCCCTTGAAAAGGCTCGCCACCAAGTTGCCTAGTTAGCCACTCAAGATACTCTTAATTACCATAACCCCCAAAGTGCAGGTACAGCCAGGTTTCAACTTTCAGACCATTTGGTCAATGTAATTTGTAGGCCACTAAAAGAGTAAAAGAAAGCAATTTTCCAATTCAGGCCTTTGAAGGTGGATACTGAACATGAGCTATGAGAGGTCATGAGCCACTGCAAAAGGGAAGTGCAACCTCCACCAGGTGGAGCAGCTTCTAACATTCACCCTCCAATGACTGCATGACCCAGGTTAAGTGAGAACTGGGCACACCATAACAAAACCATTCACTTAGCAGTGGATATTAGAGTTTTACATTGTAACACTCTCTATATCATTGTAGATTCATAAAAAAATTGAGGGAGATATAATAATATCATGATTATATAAATTCGTGTTCATATCACAATTAAGTTTTCCCTCCAAATGTTTTCTACTTCTGTTGCATCTAGATTAAAACTTTGCTCCTCCTTTGTACGCACCTGCCTGTCTAATCTCACTCACGTTCTATAGGGCACTAGTCTTCCACAGTTATGATGCTATTTAATACACACAGAAGCACACATACAGTACTTACACAAACATTTTTATACACACCCAACTTTGTTTCAAGAAGTCATAGTGGTTGTAAGTATGATTTTGGAACCAAAAAAATTTCAAATTCCATCCCTAACAATAACCAACTCTGAAACCTTGGGCAAACCATCTAACCATCTAAGTCTTAGTTTCTTCCATATGTAACATGGAGATACCCAACTATACTTACCCTCTGGAGTTGTTATAATAATTAAATGAGATAATGTGTATAGAGTGTTTGACATAGAGTCAAGCACATAGAAAGTACTAGAGAAGTATTTACTTTCATTATTATTTATACAATCACATTTTAACCATTTTTAGAAATATGCTCTCAATTATTTTACTTTCAAAAATTATTGAAATTCTATTTTAAAGGCAAAACAGTTCTTTATAACTGTCCACTGAGCCTTCCACTGGGTCAAATACCATGCCGAAAAAAATTTAACTCTGAGAATTCTATTAAAGCATGAGGATTTTTTTTTTTTAATTGGAGTCTCACTCTTGTTGCCACTGCAGCCTCGATCTGCTGGGTTCAGGTGATCCTTCTGCCTCAGCCTTTCAAGTAGCTGGAACTACAGGTGCAAGCCATCATGCCCAGCTAATTTTTGTAATTTTATTGTAGAGACAAGGTGTCACCAAGTTGACTTGGCTGGTCTCAAACCACCACACTCAGGCAACCCTCTCACCTCAGCCTCCCAAAGTGCTGGGATTATAGGCTGAGCCGCAGCGCCTGCCCTAAAACATGAGGATTAAGGTAAGAAGTACCAATATCATTGTTTGGGTTGTGATACATTGCATGTATAAGAAGGATATTAAATTGCTAATGTAAAGAATATTGATGACCCATTTTTAAAAAGAAATGGAGAAGTTGACATTTAGAAATGGCCAAATTAGTTTTGTTTAGTTCGCTCTTATTTGCATCCATGTTATGAAGCTTCTCCAATAATTTAAGAGTTGTCTAAATATTTGAGAGGAGAAAAGAAAAAATCTCTTAACTGTTAGACACAGCATAAATAGAAACATTAATTCTCTTTAAAAGATGATTATCAGGAACATATTTTCTGGGAAAATCCCAATTGAATCTCAAATTTAAGAAACCAATTACATGATTATGTGAAAATGCTCTATATTTGCTAGTGGCTTCAGTGTGTTTAAGACTGCTTAGTTTTTAAAAATTTCTCCTTTCGTACATTAGGTTATACATATTTGTATATACATATATATTGTCAAGTTAATAAAGTTCTCTGTGGTAAATAAATTATGATGATGAAGAAGTACTCACCACAATAAGTTCATAAAGAAACTTCCTTGTATTTCTATCTGCGTGGCAATCTTCCTTTAACTTCTTTACAACATAAGAAACTTTTTCTGATTCTTTTTCTGCTCGCATTTGATCAAAATCTTCTAGTGCCAGATGCGAGTAACCAAGGACATCAGCTAACACTTTCCAGTCATAAACTTTTTCTGACACCAAGGTTAACACAACTGAGTAGATATAAGTTAGTTTTTTAAAAGGCAAGGCAATTTGTTCAAGAAGGTTCCTAGTTGTGAAGACACTATCTGTCATAGACATTACTTGCTCCTTTGAAATTATCTTGACATTTTTGCAGTGCACAAGTCCAATCTTACCTCTGAGGATTCCCACATACCATTCTTTCACTTTAGACTGCCCAATGGCTTTTACCTTGCCATCTCCAAGAAGAGCTATCGTGTCCCCTTTGAAATATTCAAGTAAGTAATCAATCTTGCTTTGTCTTAGTACTGTCTTCAGAGTTACCCCATAGTTACTTAAGTTCAATGTTTTATCTTGAAATGTGGGATATTTGACAAGTACTTCTGGTAATAAAGGAGCAGACTTGATTTCCTTCTTCTGCAAACAACCTGGCAGATTTGAGAGCCTTTTTAGGTTTGGGGCTGGATCAGGAGTAGTGATAGAGAACTGTGCAACTGATTTCCCGTTGGGAGATTGCACCTGAACACAAAAAGCAAATGAGTGTGTTTCTCTGTGGTCAGCTAAAGAAAATAAAAATGGTTGATGAACCACTTCGCCTGCTTCCAGCTGCTTTTGTTTAATTTCTTTCCTTTCTCCTGCCTTTACTTCAAAATCAGGATCACATGAAAAAACAGAAATACTTAAATCTCGTGGCTTTTCAAGTAAAAATGAATGCTTTCCCCAGAGCTGAAATACGACTGGAGATGTCTTTTCTTCACCCTTCTTAATATCAGAGATTGTCAGCCTTCCTGGCATGTAACTGTGTCCACAAACTGTAAAGATAGCAGTAAAACTAGGGTGGATATATTTGGGTCCATAAATTCCAACTGAGGTGGTTTTGTGGATATAATCCCAAATGGTTGTAGCTGGTGATTGAACAGCTTTTGCTTGGGCAGCCACCACTAGATACATAACTTGACTCAAGTCCATGAGCTTGACTTGGATGGTGTCTTTTTAAATATAGGAGTTGCTTAACACTCTGAAAGGGCCTTCTTTATTCAAGCTGTGTAAACAAACCATTTCCGTCATGACCTGGCTGAAAGGATCCTTTCTCACTTCAGCCCCAATTTTCATCTCCAGCAAGATGGCATTCATAGTATTGAGGTTGCCTAACATGATCTCCAACAGTGGGCTTACAGTGCATGAAAGATTATGGTTAAGCATTTTTGGAGGATTAACGAAAGCTCTTAAAGACACCTCTTGAATTTCTCCCACAGCTACATGACCTTGGGGCACATGAACAGTGATATCTGATCCAGGTAATTGTACTGACCCTCCTTGGTGGTTTAATTTACAAACTATGGTGATATCCGCAACTTGTGTTTGCACCCATCCAGGGCTCTGATTAATCGTATTCAGATCCAGGCAAGAGCGGGCCAGTTGGCGTTGACTTAACCAAGCCATTTTATAAGCCTCCCGGTCATCTTTAAGCCATTCTAAGTCTTGTATTAGAATCTGACCAGACTTATGCATACTCTGATGGGCATGTGCTGTGTCATCTAAAATGTCCAGAAGTTCTGAAACACTTTTTGATCTTCCAGATTTTCTAGAGGAAGACTTCCTGAGTAATTGATGAACATCAAGTTCATCACCAGAAGAATCAAAAGAATTTCCATTTTCGACTTCTCTTAAAAAAAGAAAAGGATCTTCCTTCAAGATGGAAATATTCTGTCTCTTTTCATTACTTCTTAGCTGAGTTATGTCATCCAAAAATGGGTTAGAAGCAGACAGTTCATTCCAGAATGGATTTGTAACTTTAGAAGTATTATTACCACGAAGGGCGAAAGCATCAGGCCAATTGTGAAGCAAGTCTGGGTCTTGGCATTCTTATTATTTAAAGAAAAACAAAACAAAACAAAAATAAGGTGGCATTCTAGGATATAACCAAGATTAATTTTTTCCAAGTCTTAAAAATTCAGGACTAAATTTTAACTTAAGAGATAATTTATACACTAAACAACTAAGTGCTTGACACTTGACAACAATATATTTAACACATTTTCTTGAAGATGACCCAGACCAACCTGTGCTTATGCTTTATTATTTTATATTTCATTCACAAAATCGAATCTCTGAACAAACAAAATAATTCAGTTACTTAATTATCCATATTTTTCTACACATTGATTAGTTGGTCTCATTACATCCAGAATATTAATTTAATGTTTTTCTTTCCAGAAAATTTTTAACATATAGAAAATATAAAATACATCTAAAAGCAAAAATAATTTTTAAAACAATATACAGACAGCCATCATTAATCTCTTACATAAGTCTATAACTTTGTAATGAATAATTCTAACATTGAAATTTTTTCATAAAAAGTGAACCTTCATAAAATGAACATTTAAAAATTAGACCATGAATGAAATTATTGATTGAAGGAATTCATTAAACTTTTTCAGAGAACAACTTTTTGCAGAGAATGACTTTCTCACTAGATCTAGAAACATTATTACGTTGGAAAATGAATATTTTTAGAATTAATAGCACATTGAAATAGTCACATTTCTAATATAAGAATTTCTATATATCCCAAAATATTGAAGCCATTTGTTTGTGTTTAGAGCAACTCACACTTGGTCATTTCTTAGTAAATAATTGTAAAGATTCTATGCACTTTTCAAAGCTGGTGCTGTTTTAGAGACTGGTTGAATGCCCGATCATATTATCAGAATTTCTATTGAAAAAAATAATTTAAGTAAACTATCAGACTTTAATAAATATAAAACTGTTATTTCAATTGAAATGAGTTTTAAGTGTTATATATTAAAATTAGAAGATACATTTTGAAAAATAAAAGTGGTATTTCTCTTACTTTTATAGTTTTCTTTAATCCAGTTACCCTTAATTCTCAGAAAACTTACTTTTCACTGAGGATCAGTTCAATTCTTTTATGTTCCATGAAAATGTCTTATGCTAACCAACCCCTAGAGATCTCTTTTGCCCCAAAATTTATTTTTTAGAATTATTGCATACACCATTCATTTATTAGCAAATTTTTCCTCTTTATAATATTTATTATAATCTGTTGGATGTGCTATTTTATTTTGTACATCTTTTATGTGATAATGTGTACCTATTTCTATGTATAGTATTTCTATGTAGCTATTTCTATGATAACATGAATATTATAATTTTTTAATCTTCTGAATCATTTTTCACAGGTAGATCTTCAATTATTACTAATAACAGATCTGATATACTAACATGGACAAATTACAGCAGTTATAAATTCCAGTACCTGTGATATTGCAATTTTGGGGGAGGTTTCCAGCTTCCATGTCAATCAAATTCTCTTCAGACCTACTTTGTGAAATTCTTCCTGACCAAAAATAGGTTCTTTCACTGATTAACATTTTTCCACCTGCAAAGAAAATAGACATGTATCATTTGTAAACATGTATATCTAGGTTGGCAGAGAAAACAAACATAAAGAGACCATACATCTGTATGCTGTATAAAAAAAACACATGCAAAAATACTCTATAGGTCTTCTACTTCTGTAAGATGCTGAAGGAGATGCCATAGAATGGATTAATACTCCAATAAAACATGCTAAAATTCTGAATTAATACCAGCAGGTAAACCTGTAAATGTATTACTTATCCTTCCCCCCCAAAATTATTGAAAATCCCACGAAAGTAATTCTAATAAGTAAGTTGAAACTTCAATAAATAAGCATTCCCTGTTTGGTGACTGGAAGACTAAATATCACAAACCTAGACATTCTCCTCTAAGTTCCTCTATACATTGAATACAGTTCCAAGATAAATACACACACATACACACACACACACACACACACACACACACACATATATACATAAATATATACACACACATACATACATATATATACACACATATATACATACACGGTGTGTCTGTGTGTGTTACTTCTTTTTATATTTAAATTTTATTTTTTAATTGAGAAAAAACATATCACATACAGTATGTTGTTTTGAAGTACGTTGTTTTGAAACATATTGTGTTTAATAATATATAAAACAATAACTTCTTAAGCAATTTTAATATGTATAGAGAAAAGCAAAGGGCTAATATTCAAGATAATTCAGAAGAAGAATATGATGGGAGCAACATGTACTACCTACAAGATATCAGCATTTATCATAAATATGTGCTAAATTAGACAACATGAAATTGGGATAGAAATAGACAACGAACACAGAATAGAGAATCCAGAAACAGACCCACCCTCACATAAAAGCTTGATATTTGATAGAGATGACCATGCAGAACTGTGTGGAAACAATGGATTATTTATTAACCAGGGATGATACCACTGGTTGGTCATGCTGAAAAAAATTACATTAATAACTATATCATTTTATACACAAAATTCCAAGAGATTTAAAAACCTAAAGGTGAAAATAAAACCTTTAAAATTTGAAAAGAATCTAAGAGATTGTCTTTATGCTTTCTAGAAAGTAGAGAGTTTCTTAAACAAGGTATACATACATGCAAAATGTAAACCATAAAAAACCACAAATTAAAATGAGAAGTCCTGTATATCAAAGAACATCAATTACAATAAGCAAAAGCACAATACAAAAACTGGGAGAATTTATTTTTATTGTTTATGACTGAAAAAGAAGAATAATTAGATTCAAAAATATATCAAATACTTCCATAGATCAATAAACAAAATAAAAACAACCTCATAAAATTTTTTTTAAAAAGGATCTGGTCACACATTTTTCAAAATAATAAAAGAGAGTACACAATTGACCCCTAAGTATATTAAAATATGCTCAATTTCATTGATAATTAGAAAAATTCCAAATTAAACCATATGAAACACAATTACCATTCACCAAATTTGCAAAAAAGTTGAAGTCTGGCAACACCAATTGCTGACAAAATTGCCAAGTAAAAAGAAATTTTATATGATTCTAGTGGAAGTGTCAACTGGTACAACCACTTGGAAATCAATCTGCCATCATCAAGGTAAGATGCTTGCAATTACAATCCAATCCCAGTTATTCGTTCTAGTAAAAACTTTGCCTTTGTGCATCAAAAGAGAGCTACATGAATGTTCATTATATTACATTTACAAAAAATTGAAATCAACCAAAATATCCTTTGCCATATAAATGGATAAATAAATTGTGGCATTTTAATATAATGGAGTATGATACAATTATGGAAATAAATATGTTACAACTAAAAGCATGAGCACACACTAATGGAAGATTTCTCATTGCTGAGACTCAGTCTTCTTTGCATATATTAGTCCTCTTTGTCCCATGACAACATTGGAAAATAAATCTTTTAAACCTGACTTTCAGAGTGTCAACAATGGGACATAATTCACTCACAAGGTCAAATAGCAAGTGAGTGACTGACCCAGAAAAACCTTACTCCGTGGTCTTTGTGTGTTGACCACACCTTTACTTTTTATTCTTTTTACTTTGTTACATTATTTTTCAAATTACTTTTTTCAAAGTAGTTTATTATAATTTTTTAAAGAAATCAAAAGTTTTTTCTGAATATATAAAAAATAAGACAGAAAGGAGAGAAGAGGAAAAAAAGGAAAGAAAAGAAAAGTGGGAAAAATGAGCATGATAAACAAATGCAAAAATTATCTCATAAGGTGGTTTACTTAAAAAAAAATGAATCATTGCTACAGCAGTTTTTTTCCTCTGATGGGAGAAACTGCATTGAAAGATTGGGTAAAATATTTAAATATGCAACATGCAAATTGCACTGAGACCTCAAGTTTCCTGGCAGACTTTCAGAATTCTGTGGTTGATTTTACCGAATTTAATGTCCAAAATTAAAAGTTTTTAGCATAGCATAGGTAGCCAAAACTTTGAGGTAGGAAAACTGAGATCAAGTCCCTCACAAAATTTAACAAATCAAATTAAAATGAGAGAAAAATGTTTACATGGAAAAAAATATTTTCAAAAAGATACAGTACATCTTAAATAAAAGCCCAACTTAGAAGTCTCCCTAAACTCTTTCATTTCTTGTGGGGAAAAGACCAAAATAAGTAATTTATACCCAGGATTATTTTAAGGCAAATAACCCTTGATGTAAAAAATATTTATAACCAAATCACAATCAGAAAGGTACCTGATGCTGCTTTGACCTCTGAAACAAAGGCTAACTGTGATTCTTTGTGGATTAGTTCTGTCCTGCAGTCACTCAAGTAGAGCTGTCCTTCCAGGCAGTTGTTCTAAACCACAGCAGTACCAGGATCAACTACAGGGTTTCATCAAACACGGCCCATTCTACTCACCTCAGTGTTTCTGATACAGAAGGTCTGGGGTCGTGCAAAATAGTGGGTGTTTCTAACAAAATTGCCAAACGACGTGAATGCTGTGGATTTGGAGGGTGCATGCTGAGAACCCCATTCGGAAAGCCATTCCAGTAAGCTCCTTCCCTGGCCAAGTTTTCTCTGGTAGCTCTCACTAGCCTCCAACAAAACCTCCCTCTCCCAATCTTTCTGCACACACACACATAACACACACACACCCAACCTTCACAGTACTACATCCTAAATCTGGATTCTTTTTTTTCCTACGAATCCAGGGAGGAGCAGTATAAAAAAATAAGTCCTTGACTGGAAGGACAGAAGGACAAAGATGCCTCCCTGCCGAGGGCACTGCTTGTTTACATAGGTGCAAATGGTGCTGGCTACATTCATCACTTTTCTGTGTTTTCTTCCACTTAAACTCCATACTCAATAGCTTTCCAAAACAAGATTTTTTTTTTTTTACCTTTGTCTAAAGTATGAGTCAGTCTTTGTTTGAATAAGTAAATTGGAAGAGTGGAGTCTAGTATTCATTTAATTTGGAACACGGTCTTTTCAATATGCCTTTTACAAAACAATCTGATTTTTGCATGAGCCAATTTTTTTTCTTAAAGAACACACAAAGTTTTGCCCATTCTTTATTTTACTGTTTAAACTAGGCTTTCAGCAACTGGGAAAAAAAAAATGTACACAGCGTTCAACTCAGCACAAGATCCCAGAAGATTGTTTTGTGGAGATATGTGATAGGGTGGGGTATGATGTTTGCAAATAAGTAACCAGGGAAGTAATGCAATTTAAGATAATTATTCCTTTAAAATATGTTCTTTGAAGCTTTTATGGTAGTAATTACATAGTGAAAGCTTCTATTGTTTGCCAACTGGCAGGTTCAAAGCATTTTCCTATTAGTCCTTGCATACCTCAGACTTCTGGGATCTCCATGAATTTCTCTGTACTGTATCTAACTCTTCCCATGGTTTGAACTGTATTTAACCCTTGGCCTACACTGTCTATATATTTTTTCAAAATGTTAAAAGAGAGTTTATTAGTGAGAAGAGGAAGAAAAAGGAAGATTCATGGCAGAAAGACCTACCATGGGCAAGTTTCTCAAAAAAAAAAACTGCTGACCTATGTTATATTAAAAATAAGTCTGTGTAACTGCAACTCATAGATGACAGTAAATACTAGAATGTTAGAAGAGCATCTGTTAGACAAATAGACTTTCCTTCACCCCAAATGCCAAACCCACCCAAATAATATTGCATTACCTTATAAATGCAACTGGTATAAAAGTCCTGAGAAACTTGTACAAAAGTCTGACAAAGGAACTATCATCTGCTGATGATACTCACCTGGTATGATTTTAATGCACATTAATGTGTGTGTGTGGGGGGTTACTAGATCTTATCCCTAGGACACCTTCTGATGGTCTAATGGCACATTCTGATTGGTGCCAGCAACTAAAAACTTTTAGTGTTACCTCTGATTATTCTGACCAAATACTTAAAAGACCACAGCCTGACAGGGCAAATATCAGCAGTGACTTTTCCCCAAAGTAAATTGCTTCAGGAGATTCTCCAGGGAGGGCAGCAGAAACACTGGTGCATTAAGCAGCATTAGTAATGCACATTGCTATCTATGATGCCTCCAAATCTGGACGCTCAAAACATTGCATCAACACAGCATCTTGTTAATAGCATGCCAAAATATATATCACGTCTTTGTATCTTATTACCCTTCCATCACTGGCAGAACTGAAGTTCAGGAAAATTATAATAATTGTGCAACATAACATCATATTGGTGAGCTCAAATCAGGAACAGAAAGACAATAGGTCAGAAACTGTTTTACATGCAGCTTAATGAGGTAGCTAAAGAATATTCCCAGAAACCTCAGTCTGGAAGAAAAAGTGCAAAGGACTCTGAATAGATACCCAAAAGGAATATCTTGAGTCTTGTAAAAAATAAAATAAAAATAACAATCATAGAGCTATTATTTATTTACTTGGAGCTTACTACACTCCTGGTATCATGCATGGATTTTCTCATTTATTGCTTGCAACAATTCTAGAAAGTTTGTTCTCT